CAACAATAAGTTCCTATAGTAATTGGATCATATGGCCATATAAAATATAAAAAATATAAAAATAAAGAAAATATACTGATGAAGGATGAAACAATTTGACACCTGACAAACTTTTGCCAAAAGAATTGTTCATCAATATGATTGGTCCAGAGTGAAGAGTCAAGGCTCAGTGAAAAATGCAAACATTCACGTCGTTATTTTTAGTTCGCTTTAAAATTACCACTCGGATCTCTTCGCTGCCTTATTACTTCTTCTGTACAGGGCGAGTCAACGATAGAGTAAAGTCCATTATCTCATTTGTTTCGAGGTTAAAAAAAATATTAAATATAAAACTTATAGGGATGCTCAAGATACACATTTTAAAATTATTACATATATATAATAGTTATATAATATTATATATAAAAAAGTTATGGATTTTTACGCAGAATCTAAAAATAAAATAAAAAATTAGGGTGTTGCATTTAAAAAATAACATATTATGTTATATTTGCCACACTTTTTTGAAGCACCTTGTATACTCTATAATAATTTTAAAATGTGTATCTTAACCTTCCCTATAACTTTTATATTTAACAGTTTTTTGTAAACCTGGATAATGGACTTTACTCTATCGTTGACTCACCCTGTACAATAGTGGAGTGCCGTAATTTCCGCCTGTAAAATTGTGACACCCTTAGATATGCTTACATGGAAATATATGATGACTAGACGTTATTATCACATTTTCAGTGATCCACTATGGATGTATAACAAAAGTGACACAGAAATTTTTATCTAGTTACATTTTTCTTAAAAAATGATAGATTAGTATAGTGACATAGATCCGGTTCAGGTGTAGAACTAGAACTGTCTGCTGAACTTTTATGTTTTCTTTTGATGTGAGAAGTGAGGTTCTGTTTAAAATAAGTTTGGTAGTCGCAAAAGTTGCAGGAAAATTGTGGCTTTTTTCCGCATTCGAATCGCATGTGCTGTAGCATACCGCTTCTGGATTTGTACACCTTTACGCAGCAGGTAGGACATTTATATTTGTTCCAAGCATCTAAAACAAAAAATATATAATACGATAAACTAAGAACGAAACTCGAAATCCGAACTAAAAAATTGGCGCCGGGAGGCACGTATAGCCGTCCATACTAAAATATGTTAATAAAAAGTTGGTAGGCAGTTCTTTTAGTTTCAAAGTAATGGGATTTTTTCAATTTTTTTTATCTCAAAAAGTGCGAATTTGAATGATTTTGATGTTATTACAAATTTTGTTGCAAATATTATTCCTAATCTTAAATTGAAAACCGCGTTTCGCTAGCTACTGTAATTTTGGAGTTACGATTTTTTTAAAATTTTAACCCCCTCCCATACCCCCTTTCCAATCCCCACCCCCACCAGAAACTAGCCAGATTCTCGGGTGCCACAGTATTTTTGTGCCAAATTTGGTTAAAATCGGTTTAGCGGTTTTAACCATGAAAATATTTTATATTAAAAAAACTTTTTTTTGCCGATCTTAATAGGCTACAATACCTTTTGGTATGTTCGGCTAAAAATGTTCTGTTAAAATGACATTATATTATTCTATAATGTCATTTTAACAGAACGTCAACGGTTTGTGTAGACGTATGTTTTTTAAAAAAACTAAAGTATTCTCGAATAGTTGAATTATAAATATTTTTAAAAAAATAATAAAAATATTAAATTTGTCTAGGTAATAATTCATAATTTTCTGGTTCTGGATAAATGATGAACTCTTGTTGACTAATTCTGGAATAGATATTTTCAAATAGACAATATATGGTGTTTAGTTTGTAAAATCGTGCGGTTAAAAGAAAACAATTGCTTAAATTTGGAAAAACGTTTTACGTTATATAAAAAAATGTGAAATAAAACTTTTAGAAATGTGTATGTGTATATATGTATTG